GAAGTGTTTTTTTAGAGAGTTGCCAAAAAAGGAAATTTTTAGGAAATTTGAGATTTGCGGGAAAGAGTTTTTTTTTTCTTTTTTTAGAAAGTTAATTTATATTAATTTAGCAGATATTAAAATATTTTAATCAATTCTAATTAATAATAATTGAATATAATGAATAAAAGTATTTATTCAATTATTTTAATCAAGATTTTTTTTTTGCTAAATTAAATCAATATATAAAAAATAGTTTATAAACTAGTGATAAAATTTTTCTTTTTTATAAATTTGCTCCTTAATATTATATTAAGTATAGTCTGAGAGTAGTTATTAGAGTCAAAGTATCAAAACAAAAATACTGTTATATGGAATAATTTGAATAAAGTATATAATTATTGATTTGTATAAATTTTTTATTATTTTAAATATTATATATATTTATTAATAAACAAATTATAATTTTTGTACTTTGATGTCTTAAAAAAAAAAAGTTTATTATTAAGAAAAACATACAAACTTTATTACTAGAAAGTATAAGAATATTTATTTTTTAGATTAATAAAAGAATTAACAAAAAAGATTTTAATAAAAATTATATTTGATAATAAAATAATAATTAAAAAAATCAAATTTAAAATATTTAAACCTAAAATATACAGTATATTTATTAAAAATAAAAGTATTTATTTAATGTTAATAGTATATGAAGTAATTTCCACTTCACGTGAAACCAGTGGGTCACGGTCACGTACCAGACAATTTTTTTTTTTAGAATATAAAGTTCTTGCAGTCGTGCCACAAAAAATTCACGTTTGAAATGAGCCGAAACGCACCAAAGTCGAGTTGGGCCGACGAAGTTGGAGAAGAATTTGGTATGTATATCAGAATACCTATGTAAGACTTGTCTGATCCGAGTTTCTGCGTTATAAGATCCGCTTCCGCTTACCGACGGGAATGGTATCAAAACCATTACTGAGTACAAAACGAACGATGACGGAAAAAAAGTAAAGGTAGGTGTAAGCAAATTCTTTCATGAGCGGCCTACATTCAGGAATTGGATTAATCCTGTAGAATCCATAGGTTACTCGAAAGATCAAGAAAACATTAATTACAGAACGCGTTAATAAGCCAGTAGCTGAGAGAAAGGTATTCGAATTCCTACAGTCCGCTGGATAACATAAATGCATTAGAATAACTTCAATCTTTCCATCGTGTTATAATTTAAAATTGATTAATAGAAATGGGCCAAATTTGGTGAAGAACGTGGTAAAAAAGTTGGACCGGATCTCAGTACCACAAGCATTGGAGAACAGATATATTTGAAACTTTCGAGTACCGGCAAGGTGAATGCACTTAATAACTACATTCAACCATCCATTTAAGTAAAATTATTGACTGAAATGACATTTCTGTTAGCATGCCGAAAATATCGAGGAAAATGATCCAAATAAAAAGAAACTGTTGAAAAAAATTCTTTGTCGTATTTGTAAGGGTGACCATTTCACCACAAAATGCCCATACAAAGATACGCTTCAACCTTTAGAAGAACTTAGTACGGCTCTTCAGGAGGGAACAAAAGACGCACGTGAGTTTATTAATTTCCATGTTACAAAGTGTTTGATGCACATTCTTATTCATATCAATCTACCTAGCTTCGGACGTAGAGCAAGCACAACCTGAGTCTTCTAGTGGTGGAGGAAAATATGTTCCACCTAGTTTGAGAGGAGCCACGAGATCTTCTACTGGGGATTCGTTTAAAGAGAGGAGAGGCATGTTCAGAAATTTTAACTTACACAGATACCCGGGTTTTACTCACTTCCTTTGAATTTCTAGACGACGCTACCATTCGCGTTACCAATTTATCCGAAGATACTACAGAAGGAGATATAAGTGATTTGTTCCGTAAATTTGGTAGCATCTCGCGCATTTATCTTGCCCGAGATCGTGACACAAATGTCTGCAAAGGTTTTGCATTTGTCAGTTTTGTAGTCCGTGATGATGCTTCCAAAGCTTTGAAGGCCATTAATGGTTATGGTTATGATAATTTGATTCTTCGAGTTGAATGGGCCAAGTGAGTGAATAATAATGTTCATATTATATTAAATTCCGAGACTAATCATTTACTCCTTATTATTAGGTCATCATCATAATAATCAATATTTTGCATGTCAAGTAAATTATTTTATTGAAAAAAAAAAAAACAATATTTTACAAGTATATTATTATTAAATTAATGTCTTTAATTTTACAATTCAGTACAATCGTGACGAAAAATAAAGACTTCATTATTACTTAATAAATCTTGCCGTAGAAGTTTAAAAGTAATGGAGAGAGTTATTTTACTTGTCAATCTTCTTTCCTTTACTTTCACGAAAACTCTCGATCCTTGCATCCTCCAGTATGAACTCGTACCAAAAAGCAATTATATAGATAGTGCTAGCGTGCCACAAAGAATGTGCATCAAAGATTCGCCACCAAGGAGGGAAATCAAATACTTCCAATGAAGCAGTAATTATAATTAAAGCAACTACCACAAGAGGCTTCCAATAATCGTCCGGTCTTCTATGCCAATGTGTTAGTGACCACCCAACCCAGATGAGATTGTTCAACAAGCCGACGCCAATATTGGCGACAATGTTGTATTCGTAGTCAAATTTGAAGAAGTGTAGGTATGATACATGTGCAGAGAAAGCCAATAAACAGATCAATGCCCATATGGTCGTATATTTAGTGTTGCGTACTTGGAATACGCGCAGAACTGTGCAGAATAAATTATAGAGAATAGAGAGGCCAGCAGAAAAGTAATCTAACTCTTCGGTCGTGGGGAAGTCACGCGAGTGATATACAGAAGACCATATCCAACTATTTATACCAATGTAGGCGTAAATTATGTAAAACTTTTTCATGTAATAAAAGTCCTGAATTTGGCGATGAAGTTTTGGTAGGTAACGATAATGCATATAACCATTTAAAATACTAAATAGCACGCTAGCGGGTTCCTGAATTCCCCAAAGACGATGAAATGGCCATTTCCCGTAGTATTGAGCTATCTCTTTGTTTAGACTTACTGCCTGATCAGTGATTTGGTGCATACACTTATATCTGCAATTATCCTCACAAGACCAAGCAAAAATACGCAGAATAAGGGGCAAGGTTGGGTTCAGAGAACACTTCGCGGAGGAATCAGCGACACATTTCTGAAATTCCTGGTCCAGGTCACCGGCGGAAGCCAGAGCTGCGGGGAAGAAGGTAAGCAACAAGAAACATGCAAAGAGAAACGGAGCGATACCAGTTGGATGTTTCGATTGAACCATCTTCATAAGCAGAAATGTATGAAGTCGCCTCAATAGGTGCTATATGATATCATGAAGGTATGAAAAGGATATTGTGTGACAGATCTATGATTTCCGATAAATTTCTCGAATTACGTATACACGTAATCAATTGCCAAAATATGACCAGTCAAGAGAGCAATCGACTTCAATTCCTTTGGAATGCGTCTCATGCTTTATTGTCCAGTACACCAAATCTCTCCGCCTTTTATATGCAGCGGTTTCACCAACGCGCGACCGAAAATCAGCTAAAACTGGCTGACGGTATCAAGCGGAAATATTGTAGTTATTGTGGAAGTATCTTTGTTCCTGGAATTAACTGTCAAACCCGGCTAAATGCAAATAAAAAGCGAAGAAAGCAAAAGAGAAAACAGATAGTTGATATTAAAGATAAATATTCAAAAAGCGTGAAACGAGATAACGAGATAATTCAAAACGATGGTCTGAATTTATTATTTTTTTTTTTCCTAGTAACTTGCAGAGCACAAAATGATCAATAATTTATCCTTTAATACAGGTTCGGGCACTTGTAAGTTACGAAAAGCCACCCAGGAAAAAAGAAAGATTATCCATGTTCAATCCGATAAAACCCATTCACAACGAAGAGCAGATTTTAAACAAAAACGTCAACAATATAAAAATCATTTATCTTATATTTGTAACATGTGCAACAGAGAAACTAGATTCACCGGGAGCATTATGCGAGATATTTCGCGCCCTGATCAAACTGAAACCAATAAGAAAATTTCACTTTGGCCAAAACCGCATGAAATGTCAACCTTATCCAAAAAGTTGATAACTTCGAGTAACCCTTCGAGTGGAAGCAAATCTAAAAAGAAAAAGCAAAAATCACAGCTTCAACAATTTTTAGCTGAAGAAAAGGAGAGAAATAATGAGAAAAAAGATCCGACAGAATTGCTAAATTTAGAAGATTTTTTATCATCCTTATGATTAAAATAGAAAAACGGATATTCACAATTTCTGGTTACAAAAAATCGAATATATCACACCCTCCACTCAAATTGATAAATCAACGATGTTCACATTTAGATTGTTGAAGTTCCTTTAACATTTTATGACAGTCAGCCTGTGCGAGTGATCGTGAGCCATCGCTGTAATCCATCAGAACAGAATTGAATTGATACTTTCCGGTCCCCTTTTCCACGATTTAAAGATTAATGAGTATTAAATGAAACAGAATAATTAATAATACAAGACTTACTAGCACTGAAATGCAACACCAAAGCATTTTCCCCTTAATATTATGTCCCAGTTGTTCCTTCGTCAATTTGGCTCTCATTGAACGTTCTGTTATTACTTCTATCCCGATGGAGTGCAGTATATCCTGGATGGTTAATGAAAATGTCAAACATAATTTGTTATAAATATTACATTCAAAACGCTATTCTTTCACCTGTGATATAGAACCCGCAGCTTCAACCCAAATAACTCCAGTACCATCATCCAAACACCATTTTATGGCGGACGATTTGTCGCTTATCGCCCAATCAGTGATCAAACAACGGCAAACAAATTGATCAAGGTAGGATTCATTAGAGTGTTTGATGATGATGTCTAACGGTAACGAATTACCTCGTAAGGATGAAATTGCTAGCCATCCTTCTGCCATGCTAACTGACTCAGATAATAAAGTAGTTGACATTTAACCTTTGATCACGTAAACTTGACTGAGAAACTAACTATTCTGTTGTTTTTTTTACCATTATAAATCACTGTCCCTATTGATACATCCCCATTAACTTCCATAGTTCCATCAAATTTTCTCCATGCTCGCAACCCTTCTAGTACGATATATTGTCCAATGTGAAATTGAGACACCTCACGCCCAACCCTTCCCCATAAAGTGATCGACACACACCCTAAAATATTAAGCAATAAAATGAATGACATTAAATAGTATAAAAAGAAACCATACTTTCCCTTACCGGTTCTATCACTTAATTTTATCGCATATCGATCGACTTGTTTGCCTTCATTTGACATAGACGGATCCTTTTATCCAAGAAAAAGAAGTTAGACAGAATATTTTGAAATAAAGAATGAAACGGAGGAAACCATATACATTTTCTGAGATGCTCTCGAGTTTTCCATAAAGAGTGACGTTCAAACCTCTTGGCGGCAACTTATTTATGAAGAAGCGCTCATGGTGGTATTTATAATCAATCATATGCTAGAAAAATGTAGTGTCATCAAAAAGGTTATTTTACAAATAGATTATTTTGACAACGCTTACCGAATCATCATGATAATTAAATTTGCTTTTTGGATTATGTTTAGTCTACCCAAACAATAAAAAATAAATTCTTAACATCTACTGATTTGATTAAGGGATTTCACTGTTTACTAAGTACCTTACAAAGATCGTTCATCGGCAAACAAAATAACACGGTTGAATCGCAGTAGTGGAGAATTATTCCACCTTGATTTCCACTCTCGGGTTCAATGTAAGGCCAATGTATTCCCAAAAAATCTCCCTAGAGAAAATCCTTAGCAATAACCAGATAAAATTAAATTTGAGTAAAGAATTCAAATACTTACCGTTTTAAACAAATTTGTTATGCGTATTTTATCATCTAACAAAACCAGAGTAGCACATCGCGTACTCAACATATCACGAACGTACACACACACTTTGTTTGAAAATCCGACAAAATTGGCAGGCTCTTTGGGACCAACGTGTACTACCTTATACAAAGACGAGATAATGAGTAATATATGAATGGTTTATAATATCACGAGACCACACACAATGCTCACCCTCATCCAAAATTGATACCCTCTCCCGTTACTGATATCACCTAGCGTTATGTCAAGGAATGAATCGGTAAATAGCTTATCAATGAACTCCTCATCGGACTGTGTCAACATGATCAATATATTTCCTGTGTTCAGAAAAGTTAATTTTGGAGCTGTCTTTGATAATGACGCACGATTGAACCTGATGCGACGATTTTTCTGTAAAAGTTCGGAAGATAAATAAATCGATAGACGAAATCAATGATGCTTGTTGTAAAGCTTTGAAGTTTTACCTGATTGAACAACTCTGGAAAATATCCATCTGTGATGAATCGGAAAAGTCTCGGTGGTATATACATATTGACTGTAGAACAGTCTGAGTTGTCGGACAAGGTGAATTGATGTGTATACCCTTGAGATCAGGATATTAATAATCGAAGTCACTGTTATTTACAAAAATTTCAACGTATAAAGGATATAGTTTGATTTAGATGGGTTGCAACTCTTAATATCCTTGACAATAAGCTCATAGTCGCGAATTTTGGTATTAAACCGCGGATGTATTGTACGAAAAGGTGCGAATACTATTTAAAAAACACATTAGTTTTAATTTATGTTAGTCTCAGATATTATTAATAAACTTACCTTTTGGAACTCCTTTTCGATATTCAACGCTCATTTCTTGCCACTGGCAAATATATGTATTAAATAATCATCGAGTGAACATTAATAAGAATGAGTAAAATTGCAAAGATTTTTTACCTCAGAAAGCAATTTGTTCAACATTACACATTCTGTTAACCCGTGTGGGTTATGAGTAAGCATATCTGCCACCCTGGCACATACCCATCCCCTTTCAACGTTAAAAAAATTAGTTTCATATTAAATCAGAAGGTTAACAGAGATGACATTTACATACCAGGATAGAGGTTCGGCTTCCGGGTCTAAAGCATTGCCAATATCTTTACTTTCCTTTTCTTGATACTTTCCATCCTTATTAGCGCGTTTCGTCTGATAAATCGAGATGACTTGCGAATTTAGTGTATGACAGTAACAATCTATCAAATTTTCAAAATCCATGGTTGCTGAATTTCCAACAATTTATGTTCAGATATTTATATAAAACGCGTTACCGCGTCTGATAGACGCCACCGGGCGCGACACGAACATCATGCATATACAAAAATTTAATTACAAGTATTTATTTAAAAATTTATTAATATTTTTCTTATTTTACTTTTTAAAATCTTTTTTTTTTTTTTTTTTGAAAAGAGCAAATGGCTATCACGCTTTATTATATTTATTATACTTTTACTTACTTACAGGGTAAGATACAATAATCAATAGTATGACATACATCTCTCTTTGCTAGAAACAGTTTAACACAAGGCTCCCATATAGGATCAGACCCCTGTACTCTTTTAGCACCATCCAAGAAATATAGACAAAAAAGAAATTCAAAAATCTATATCTAATTATGAATGGCATCCAGCTACCTGGAATTAAATGTATATCTAATCACATGAAGGCGCTGCAGCCAATCTATACAGGTTGGTCTTCAAGTTATAATTAGGATTGGCACGCCTACTTTCCAAATATAGCTTGATGTACGGCAAGCAGAGTGGTGTTGGAAGTGGTAGGAGATGAGTACCTTTTTACATAAAGGCGTTGCAGCCACTTTGTACAGATTTGCCTTCAAGTCACAAAAAGAATTTGGCACACCCATGCTTCAAGTGTGGCAGAAGTGTCTTATGGATAGAGTTCTTATTTGTTTTCTTAATGGTGCTGGAACCTAACCTTGTATAATAGATCTACATTGTCGAAGGGGTGAGCGAGAAACTTCCGTTGTTGTCACCAGCTCGTGTTGCAAGGGTAACTAGAATCTCTGATCGTCACGTATTATCCTATTAAGTTTTCCAATTACTAGCATGACACCTGCAATTAATCTAGCTTATTGCTAGTTGTATTGGTATTGGTTGCCATTTCACTATGGATACTATAGGGCGCAACTCCTTGGGTATTTTCGGATAATAATGTTGTACAGAGGTTTCTTGAACATATCTAGTCTAACCACCAATCGGTAAACAATGCCAGGTTTGGTAATGATGACCATGTCGATCTTTTGGAGGGGGTAAGCCATCCATCCTTTTTCTGAGGAGCCATAGAAGAGAGAAAAATTCTTAAAGCCCACATCCTAAGAAAGGTTACCACTTTTTAATATGGTCCTTGAGAAAAAGAAGTCAACTGGCCAAAGGAGTAATGTTATGGAGACGGAGTTTTCAAAAGAGAGAGAGGCCTCAGGAGGAAAATCTTCAGGGAAAAGGGAAAAACCTAGCTTCGGCAGGAAGAAAAGGGAAAAACAGAAGGGAGGGGTAAAAGTAAAAAGAAAGAGTATATAAAAGAGAAGAGGAAAGATAGGAAAAGAGAAATAAAGAGGTATGGAAAGGAGCATAGAGAGAAGGGAAAAGGGAAAACAAAAAAAAGGTAAACAACTCAAAAATTTCCTAAAAAGAAAATTTTCAAGTGTAGAAAGAGGGAGTGAAAAGGAGTTTTTTAGGTATAAAATAATTGTTTATTTAATTATATTATAAAATAATTAAATTATATTTTATTATAGGAGTCTATTAATATATGGGCACAAAGATTTATAAAAATATTTAAAAGATTTTCAGCTTCACAACTAAAACTTCCAAAATTACACTCATGGATATATCATA